GAAGACAGCTGCCAGGCAACTTTCTGGCAAGGCTGCGGCGAGGCCGTCGCCTTGCTAATCTCTTCTATGTTTCTTCCTCTTTGTGCTCTTCCTTCTTCATCTCAGCTTCATGTTTACAACACGCTCTGATACACCCCTCCCAACAAGACCATCTTGCTGTCCTAATTCTCATTGCTCAGTGGCATTTCCCAGAAGAGGTAGAGTCGTTCGCCAGGTTCTGGAACAACTTCTCCAGCATCAGCCCGCGGTGGCAGGGGCGGCACCACAGTGGCCACCCACGACGCCCTCTTTTTTTTGTCCTGAGCAGTTTGGCATGGCGCTGTCGTCCAGAGTGCCCTGATACAGTCGGGGCCCTGAAGAAGGAATCCTCTTCGTTGGGGAGAGGCTCCGCGTTCCTCAAGTGTTTCACAGCTTGCCTCAGGCTTTCCTTAGGTTTTTGATAGGAAATCGAAGTTTAACTTCTGGAAAAGGGGCCTCGTTCCTTATTTAGGGTTCCTTAGGTCAACGCCCCGACTGTATGATATTCAACTTTCTCGAGATTGGGCATGGGATGTATCAAGCTTGCTACCGCTGTCAATCTCGAGTGGAGGGCTGCACGTCTCCGAATGAGATATACAAGTCTTTGGCGGGCCCGGCCTGGTAAAGGCATGATTTCCGAGAGCCCACCGGAAGAGGCCATCAGCAGAGATCGGCCCTACAGCAGGGGTCTTGAAGAAGGAACCCTTTTCGTTGGGGAGGGGCTCCGTGTTCCTTGATGGTTTCACAGCTTGCCTCAGGTTTCCCTTATGTTTTCGATGGGAAATCGAAATTTAACTTGTGGAAAAGAGAGGCTTCGTTCCTTGTTTAGGGTTCCTTAGGTCAACGCCCCGACTGTACCGCATACTGCGCGTCCCGTCGTTCGCGTCTGATCGGTTCCGACAGGAGGCATGGATCAGGGGGTGGATGCACGTACAGCAACTCAGAGAGAGAGGGAGAGGGTTGGCAGTGGCACTTGAGTCTGGAGAGGCAGCGTGCCATTTGAGGGCGGAGGCAACGTCAGCTTGGACAAGTATTTGGTTGCACCCCAGCGTCGCCTCGTCGCCACGATCTTGAGAGGCCCAGCACTTTCCCTCCTCCCTCCCGGCCCTTCCCTTCCCACTGTCCCTCCCCCTGCTTCTTCTCTTCTTCCTCCTGCTCCTCCACTCTTCGCTCTGGCACGTCGCGCCACCATGCGTTTTTGGCAGTTCGGACCGAGCGCCATGTCTTAGACGTCTTCACAACTTCTGACCAGAGCTTATCCCAGTCCAAGAACTGCGTGGATGCAGGGCGCGGGGCTTGCCATTCAGAGTCGCTCCGCGTTTCTCCACCAGACAGGTTAGAAGTGAATCCCATGACTCTATCCCGAGCCAGGGACGTCTGGGAGCATGCCGTGATACGGGCAGACGGCGGCAGCCAGATCATTTTCGTGCTTCCCTTCTTCCCGTAGAAGCTGGATGCCCATCTTGTGGGGTCGACGCGGGCCCGTTCGCGGCCAGTTTGTGGGGATGTCTCAGGCGGTTTGCTCGTTTTCATGCCCAACATCTCTGGCTTTCAGAGCAGATTTTGAGGATGTCCCAGGCGCTGCGCTGGTTTCAGCATCCCTAAGGAGAGCAGCCAGGGGGTAGGACACGGGCCCGTTCGCTACTATAGTCAAGCGCTCATGAACAGACGGTCACTATGGCATGACATAAAACATGAGATGCACACATGGGGAGCTCCACTCATACTCAGACATACTTGTACCCAGACTTATTCATACACAGACTTACTCATACTCAGACATACTCATACTCAGACCTACTCATACTCAGACTTACTCATACCCAGACGTACACATACACAGACTTATTCACACACATACTTACTCATACCCATACGTACTCATACCCAGACGTACTCATACACAGACTTACTCACACACAGACTTACTAATACTCAGACATTCTCATAGTCAGACTTACTCTTATGCAGACGTATTCATCACACAGAAGATTCGGAGTATGTCTCAGGCGTGGCGCTGGTTTCAGCACCCAAAGGGGAGCTGCCAGGGGTGTTTTCACGGGCCCGTTCGCGGCCAGTTTGTGGGGATTCCTCAGGCGGCTTGGCTGTTTTGGTGGGCAGACTCGTTTGCGTTTAGAGCAGTTTGTGAGGATGTCTCAGGCGGGGCGCTGGTTTCAGCACCCCTAAGGGACGCCGCCAGTGGTGTTTTCACGGGCCCGTTCGCGGCCAGTTTGTGGGGATGTCTCAAGCGGGTTGGCTGTTTTGGTGGGCAGACCCGTTTGCGTTTAGAGCAGTGTGTGAGGATGTCTCAGGCGGGGCGCTGGTTTCAGCACCCATAAGGGGAGCCGCCAGGGGTGTTTTCACGGGACTGTTCGCGGCCAGTTTGTGGGGATGTCTCAAGCGGTTTCGTTGTTTTGGTGGGCAGGCTCGTCTGCGTTTAAAACAGATTTTGAGGATGTCTCAGGCGGGGCGCTCGTTTCAGCACCCCTAAGGGGAGCCGCCATGGGTGTTTTCACGGGCCCGTTCGCGGCCAGTTTGTGGGGATGCCTCAGGCGGTTTGCTCGTTTTCATGCCCAACATTGTTGGTTTTCAGATCAGATTTTGAGGATGCCTCAGGCGGGGCACTGGTGTCTCTCGGGCGGTTTGCTCGTTTCCATGCCCAGCATCCTTGGCTTTCAGAGCAGATTGCGAGGATGTTTCAGGCGGGGCGCTGGTTTCAGCACCCCTCCGCCAGATGTATTTTCACGGGCCCGTTCGCGGCCAGTTTGTGGGGATGTCTCAGGCGGTTTGTTGATTTTCATGCCCAACGTCCTTGGCTTTCAGATCAGACGTTGAGGATGTCTCAGGCGGGGCGCTGGTTTCAGCACCCCTAGGGGGAGCCGCCAGGGGTGTTTTCACGGGACTGTTCGCGGCCAGTTTGTGGGGATGTATCAGGCGTTTTGCTGGTTTTCATGCCCCACATCCTTGGCTGTCAGAACAGTTTGTGAGGATGTCTCAGGCGGGGCGCTGGTTGCAGAACGCCTAAGGGGAGCCGCCAAGGGTATTTTCACGGGCCCGCTCGCGGCCAGTTTCTGGGGATGTCTCAGGCGTTTTGCTGGTTCTCATGCCCAACAGCGTTGGATTTCAAAACAGATTTTGAGGATGTCTCAGGCGGGGCGCTGGTTTCAGCACCCTTAAACGGAGCCGCCAGGGGGCAGGGCACGGGCCCGTTCGCGGCCAGTTTGTGGGGATGTCTCAGGCGGTTTGTTTTTTTTCATGCCCAATTTGCTTTGCTTTCACGCAACTTGCTTTGCTTTCAGAGCAGATTTTGAGGATGCCTCAGCCTGGGCGCTGGTTTCAGCACCCCTAAGGGGAGCCGCCAGGGGTGTTTTCACGGGCCTGTTCGCGGCCAGCTTGAGGAGGGGGAACGAATGGGAGGCTCATATTCAATCATACTCAAAGCTTACTCTGACTCATACTCACTCACTCGCATTCGGATTCGCTTGTCTTCGTCGGCCCTGTCGCCCACGTGGACGCGCTATTATAGTCAAGCGCTCATGAACAGACGTTCACTATGGCATAACATAAAACATGAGATGCACATGTGGGGAGCTCCTCGCAGTGAGTAATTTGGTCTTTTTTTGTTGTATTTTCTTTCTTTCTTTCTTTCTTTCTTTCTTTCTCTCTCTCTCTCTCTCTCTCTCTCCTCTCTCCTGCCTCCTTTTGTTCCTCTTCCTCCTCCCTCTGTGCCAGAGCTGTGCAGCACTTCGTCCGTGACGGCTGCCAACGCGCCTAGCCTGGCCGCTCTTGAGCGGTCAGCGCACCTCGGCGAGTCAGCCCCGACGTGGCAGCTGCCCGTGGGGTTCGCTGCGTGGCAGCTCCCTGACGTGGGGTTCGTTGCGTGGGGTTCGCTGCCCGTGGCAGCCAGCCCTGACGTGGCAGCTTCCCTTCGCCTCCGACCCCGCGCTCCCCCGGGCCACGGCTCTACACCCTGAGCTCTGCAGAGGCGCGCCTCTCGCCCCCCCGTGCCCCCCCCCCCCCCACACACCTTGGCAACCCGAGGGATGCGCCCTGCCCTTCCCTCCTCCTTTTCCTCTTGCTCCTCCCTTTCTCTTCTCTTCTCTTCTCTTCTCTTATCTTCTCTTCTCTCCTCTTCTCTTAACGTCTCGTCTCTTCTCTTCTCTTCTCTTCTCTTCTCTTCTCTTCTCGTCTCTTCTCTTCTCTTCTCTTCTCTTCTCTTCTCTTCTCTTATCTTATTTCCTCTTCTGTTCTCTTCTGTTATCGTCTCTTCTCTTCTCGTCTCTTCTATTCTCTTCTCTTCTCTTCTCTTCTCTTAACTTCTCTTCTCTTCTCTTCTCTTCTCTTCTGTTATATTATGTTATCTTCGCTTCTCTTCTCTTCTCTTCTCTTCTCTTCTTGTCTCTTCTATTCCCTTTTGTTCTCTTATCTTCTCTTCTCTTCTCTTCTGTCCTCTTCTGTTCTCTTCTGTTCTCTGCTCTTATCTTCTCTTCTCTTCTCTTCTCTTATCGTCTATTTTCTTCTCTTCTCTTCTCTTCCTCTTCCTCTTCCTGTCCTCTTCTCTTCTCTTCTTGTCTCTTCTTTTCTCTTATAATCTCTTCTCTTATCTTCTCGTCTGATTTGTTTTCTTATGCTATATTCTCTTCTCTTCTCTTCTGTTCTCTTCTGTTATGCTCTCTTCTCTTCTCTTCTCTTCTCTTCTCGTCTCTTCTCTTCTCTTCTCTTCTCTTCTCTTCTCTTCCTCTTCTCTTCTATTCTCTTCTTATATCTTCTCTTCTCTTCTCTTCTCTTCGCTCCTCTTCTCTTCTCTTCTCTTCTCTTCTCTTCTCTTCTCTTCTCTTCTCTCCTCTTCTCTTATCTTCTCTTCTCTTCTCTTCTTTTCTCTTCTCTTCTCGTCTCTTCTCGTCTCTTCTCGTCTCTTCTCGTCTCTGCTCTTCTCTTCTCTTCTCTTCTCTTTTCTTCTCTTCTCTTCTCTTCTCTTCTCTTCTCTTCTCTTCTCTTCTCTTCTCTTCTCTTCTCTTCTCTTCTCTTCTCTTCTCTTCTCTTCTCTTCTCTTCTCTTCTCTTCTCTTCTCTTCTCTTCTCCTCTCTTCTCTTCTCTTCTCTTCTCTTCTCTTCTCTTCTCTTCTCTTCTCTTCTCTTCTCTTCGCTTCGCTTCGCTTCGCTTCGCTTCGCTTCGCGTCGCTTCGCTTCGCGTCTCGTCTCGTCTCTTCTCTTCTCTTCTCTTCTCTTCTCTTCTCTTCTCTTCTCTTCTCTTCTCTTCTCTTCTCTTCTCTTCTCTTCTCTTCTCTTCTATTCTCTTCTCTTCTCTTCTCTTCTCTTCTCTTCTCTTCTCTTCTCTTCTCTTCTCTTCTCTTCTCTTCTCTTCTCTTCTCTTCTCTTCTCTTCTCTTCTCTTCTCTTCTCTTCTCTTCTCTTCTCTTCTCTTCTCTTCTCTTTATTCTCTTTCTTCTCTTTCTTTCTTTCTTTCTTTCTTTCTTTCTTTCTGTCTGGGGTGCTAGTAGGAGGGCTTTGAGGGCAGTCTGGGGGCCTTGACGGCCGTCTGGGGGCCTCTTGGGACCTCTTCGGGGCCCTTCGGGGAGGCCTCTTGGGGCCTTTTAGGGGGCTTCTTTGGGCGAGGGCCTTTTGAGGGGGCCTGGGGACTCCTTGGGCGCTTTTTTGGAGTTATCCTCGGCGTGCCACGCGCGCAGCGCGTTTCAGGCAGGGTGAAGGCACTGGCAGTGACCGCCTTGTGTGACAGTGCGTGCGGGCAAGCGCGCAACAAAGCCCGGCCCAGAACCTCGGGCACGGGCCTGCTTGCGAGGGCGCGGGTCCTGCTCTGGAAGGGGGGCTGTGGGCAAGGGCCCCCGTCGCGTGCGCAAACGGGGCGGCCACCCAAGCACGGGCTTGCGGTGGTTGTTCGACGGCGAGAGCGCGGGCCCCGACCGCGTGCGCGACAGGCAGGGCCGCCCAGGCACGGGCCTGTGGCGGTAACTTTACGGCGAGGGCACCGACGCGAGCGCCATTCGCGGCGGCTCCTCCGGCACGGGCCTGCGGGGTCTCAGCGGCGAGGGCATGGGCTTCGACCGCGCACGCGAAAAGGAACAGCACCCAGGCACGGGGTTGCGGTGCGTGTTTGGCGGCGAGGGCATGGGCCCCGACCGCGAACAGGAAGACAGCGAAAAATGCAGCCACCTTGCCTGCGCGGGCCTGCGGGGTTGGCGTTGCGCCGTGGCGAGGGCAAGGGGCCCGACCGAGGTCGGCGGTGGAGGCGCGGGCCCTCGACCGAATGCAGAGGCTTGGGGCGCTGAGCCGCGTGCAGAGTAGCTCCCCCGAACCAGCCGCGCCTCCGGATGGTGTACACGGTATAGTTGTCGTCAGGAGACATCGGTACAGGACAGCCCTTCAGCCCAACCCTTGTCTCCACGCCCAGTTGCGGCGACACGCGTGCCCTGGCCTGGCGCCAGTGCCCTTCCATCGCTCGGCCAGCGCGTGGGCGCAGACAGGCGTTGGCAGGTGGTAGTGGGGGTGCCGTCGGTGCCGAGGGCTTGAAAATTTGCGTTCGGGTTCTCCATCGGCCTGCTCTCGCTGGGGGCCGTCTTTAGGCCCTCTTGGTCAGCCTCGGGCGCTCTTGTGGGGGGCCGGCTGGGGCCCTCTTGAAGGCTTCGTGGGGGCATCTTGGGGCGATCTTGGGGGCTTCGTGGGCCGTCTGCGGCGCTGGGATAGCAGACAAGGGCATTCACAATGCATCTGCTTCCCGTTGGCATTTTCTCCTGCTTGGGTGTTGGACACAGGTTGCGACCACTGCCAGATCTGTCTTCGAGCAGGGGCCCGTGGCGGCGAAAAGTTCCTGCAGTCCTGCAGGGGCCGGCCGTCCCCCTCTCCTTCCCCCCCTCCGCTCCGCCAATCTGCCCTACGCGCGGGGCAGATGCAGACACCTGAGAGACCTTGGTGGCGCACGCGGCGCTTTCCAATTTGTTTTCCTCTCTGACGACTGTCTTGTCCTTGCCTGGGTAGGGTTGCCTTTCTGCGTCTGCCCCCCAGTGGGCAGGAGGTTCCAGAGAAATCTACAGTACCCTTGAGGTGTTCTGCCGGTGTGCGGAAGAGTTCTCCGCTGCGACGAGGATTCGGCCGAAGGGGTACGGCGGCAGCGCCAGTAGGTGGCAAAGGCGCGTGGTAGGTAACAGGGGGGGGTAGAGGGGGGGAGGGGGGGGGGCGCCGCTCT